TCCCCACCCCAGGCAGGTGGGGGAACCGGGCTGGTGCGAAAAGGCCTTGCCTGAGCAGGTGGTTCTTGGTCATGGTTCTCTGCAGATCAGCCGTGCCATCTCCAACATGGAGCACAGAGGAGCTCCAGCAAGTGCTTCCCCACCTCCTTCCCAGCCTCCTGAGGTGGGCCAGTGAAACGCTGGGCGAGGAGAGGCTGCTTTCCCCCATGGGCAGCTGGAGACAACTGTGCCTCAAGGGCCAGGTGCCTGAGCAGAAGCCATGCAGGTAAGGAGCCAAAGGGGAAGATGAAGGGCCCCGGGCCCCTGCAGTGCCAAGGGATGCGGCAGCCCTGGGAGCTGAGTGTGCCCAGTGCCGGGCAGGCGACGGAGCAGGCATTTGTATGAGTCTTGATCTCAGAAAGAGATGGTGGAAAAAATGCAGAAAAATATTCTGGGAGGACAGAGCTTGGATGCAAGTTACAAAATCTTGGAATATAAAATGTTTGGCATAATGGTATGTGCAACCATAACTGCAATGGTATCTGCATCTGCAGTGGCATTGCCCACTGCCATGTCATCTTAATCTGTAATGCTATCTGCATCTGAAATGGTATCTACATTTGTAATGGTAGTTAGCATCTGCAGTGGCATCTGCATCTGTATCTGTCTACAAGTTCCAAGTCTTGGAACATAAGCATACGATTCTTGGCTTCTTTTTGTTTTTCCTTTTTATTCCGCCCCATCAGAAGAAATCATTGTCAGGGTCTCAGTGCACTGAGAGAGGAGGTGTCACTCTAACTAGAACTTAATATTCCACAAGCTTTTTTTCTTTTGACTTTTACTTTTTCCCATCAGCTACACTCTTATGCTCTGGCCACTCCATTTCCTAGAGCCAGGGACAGCGGGGGGTGTGCTGACTTTACTGGTTTAGATATTGCCTGGCTCAGGGCATTAGCTGGGGGATGATGCCCCGCCGTGCTGTGTGTGCAGCTGTACCGGTGTCGGTACCTCCGTCGGTGTGTGCAATGCTGTCGAGAGCTGCGGTGGGATCAGTGTCTGCCACGGCCTCTGCATCTGCAACGTCCTTTGAATCTGCCGTGGCATCTGCAAAGCTCTCTGCACCTGCAGTGCTGTGTGTGCCGGGGGGTGATGACGTCACTTGTGGGGGAGGAAGCTGATTGGTCAGGAGCAGCAGGTGGCACTGAGGTGCTGGGTGCCCACCGGTGCCAGCACAGAGAGAGGAGGGGGGGGGGGGCAGAGGAGAGGCGGGTTGGGGGGCCAGCGAGGGGCCGGCAGCGAGGTGATGGCTGGGGCGGGGGCTGGTGAGGTCACTTCTGCCGGAGGTGCTGATAGGGTAGGAGCAGGCAGGTGTCCTAATGGACCTCCAGATGACCTGGGCTGATGTCACAGGGGGAGGCACTGCGTCACAGGGAGGGCTCCCCGGTACCACGGCAGTGCCAGCACGTCCTGGGGAGGCCTGGGCACTGCTGGGCACTGCGCAGGGGCTCCCCACCGCTGCCCTTTTTTGCTGCTCCACAGCCAGGAGCAGGATCGGGAGGCAGCAGGGAGGTGCTGGGGGACCCTGGCTGACAGGCGGGAGAAGAGGAGCACATCAGAGAGGAGTTTGGGGCAAGGAGCTGGGAAGGGCGTCCCATTTCCTGAGCCGAGTGTAAGCAGCAAGTGCGATGGAGGACTGCTGCGCCATGGCCGTCAGCTCAGAGCTCAGCTGCTTGTTCCCCACACTCCTGCAGCTCTCCCCCAAGGGGGAGGGTTTCGGGAGCTCCGAGCTGAGGAGTCACACGTGGGCTGTCAGCTGCCAAAAGCAGGGGGACAATGTGGCTGCCAGCACTGCCAGGTCACGGTGCCTGCACTGCCCTGAAGACCAAGTCTCTCGTGGGCATAGGGTGGTGCCCCCAAAAGGGGGAATGATTCAGGGTCAGCTTCCTCTGGGAGCTGGCAGTCTGCACTGGGGGCACAGCCCAGCTCCACAGCCATGGCAGTGTTTTTCTGGGCTGTTTGTGTACCCCAGCATCTGTCAATCCCCAGGCAAGGAGCTTGCTGAGTGTGTGAGCTGGACAGCCCAGAGCCTGACACTCCCTTCCCTTGTTTTCCAGCGGTTGTGGCTATCTGGAGAGCTGTGTCCAATTACGCCCTGAGGCAGCTGAAGTTGGGCAAGGTGGGCTGGCGCCCTGGTGCCCCTCACCCTGAGAGCCTGGGCCCCAGGGAGAAATCCCTCCCTGAGCATTGCAGCAACACGGCAAGACCACCCTGTGTGCCCAGAGCAGCTCCTTGGCCAAGCAGGAGAGCAACCAAGTCCAGAGCCAGCCTGAGAAAGCATTCAGCACACCCCAGGGCTTCACGCTTCCCTGTAAAGGGACTAAGCAGAGACAGGGGGTGATGCTGGGCCTGTGCCAAGGATGTCTTTTTGTCTTTTCCCTGGGCAGCGTGTCCAGGTTGCAGGACTCAGAACCTTTGCTATGGTCCAAGAGCTATTCCGTGGCAAATGGGAGGTGCTTGTGGTTCAAAGAAAGACCTGTCTTCCAGCTGGACAGTGATGAGTTATGGCTCCAGGAGCGTGCGTTCGCCACAGTGACTATCCCTGGTGAGAAGGCAGTGGCCGCACTCCCCTTTCCTCCTCCATGTCTAGGGGCTCACGTGCTCTCTGCTCCTTGGAAAGGGCTGGGAGAAGTAGGTAAATGCCTCTGAAGGTTGGGGGACAGCTTGAGCTCTCCCAAAACAAACCACTCCCTAAAGGCTGTTTTTATAAACAACCTTTTCTCTAGATTTATGTAATGAAACTTAAATGGAAATGTGGCCTGCTGTGGCAGAGGCAGTTCCTCCTCCTTGCAGGTGATGTCAGGATCAAGCCCCTGAAGTACAAGCAGCTATCATGAGACAACTTCTGCCTGTGACACGTGGTGGAGAACTGTGTGCGAGTGTGTCCCCTGGCACTAAGTGGACAGACAGGTTCCTTTAGGGATACTTGGTAGAATGCTAATGACACTAAATTGCAGTTATGAGTTTTATTTTCTCAACAAGATACTATGATTAGTTATAGCACAGAATTTACGCTTAGAACAGCATGGGATTTCTACAAGCAGAATCAATGTAGTACAACTGATAAGTAGCGTGATACAGAATTTATAATACAACTATCAAGAGGATCCTAACTGAACTTATGATTCCTAATCAACTGGACCCTCGGCAGATCAGGTCAAATCTTAATACATGGTTTGCCGTATCAATATAACAATCACAATCTAGACTCAGAAAGCATATAAAAGGAGGAGACTCGCTCAGTCCTGGGAGGAAGCAGATGGCGGTGGAGGTGTCCGTCCACCGAGGGGTCATGAGTCTCAGTCTTCTACATCTGTTTGGGTCCATGTTCTCTTCTTAGAACTTGTAAAAGTTGTTTTATTAGCAGTGCTCTTTCTACTATTATATTTCTCTGTTCAGATGAGGAGGAGGACGAGGAGGAGGAGGACGACGAGGAGGAGGACGAGGACAAGGACAAGGATAAAGACGAGAATGAGGAGGAGGACGAGGAGGACGAGGAGGAGGACGAGGAGGAGGAGGATGAGGATGATGATGAGGAGGACGAAAAGGAGAAGGAGGACGAGGACAAGGATGAGGAGGAGGACGAGGACAAGGAGGACGAGGAGGACGACAAGGAGGAGGAGGAGTATGACAAAGAGGACGAGAAGGATGATGAGGAGGAGGACAACGAGGAACAGGAGGATGAGGAGGATGAGGAGGAGGAGGAGGAGGATGACAAGGAAGATGAAGGAGGAGGAGGGAGACGAGGTTGAGGAGGAGGACGAGGACAAGGAGGACGAGGAGGAGGAGTATGAGGACGAGGAGGAGGGGGATGAGGTGGAGGACGAGGAGGAGGACGAGGAGGAGGACGAGAAGGACGAGGAGGATGAGGACGAGGAGGCGGACGAGGAAGAGGAGGAGGAGGAAAACAAGGAGAAGGAGGAGGAGGATGATGATGATGATGAGGAGGAGGAGGATGAGGAGGACGAGCACGAGGATGAGGGGGAGGACGAGGAGAAGGAGGATGAGTAGGAGGAAGAGGAGGAGGAGGATGATAAGGAGGAGGAGGACGACAAGGAGGAGGAGGATGAGGAGAACGAGGAGGAGGAGGATGATGAGGAATAGGAGGAGGAGGAGGGTGACGAGGACGAGAAGCAGGATGAGGAGGATGGGGATGAGGAGGAGAAGGAGGAGGAGGAGGTGGAGGAGGATGAGGAAAAGGAGGAGGACAAGGAGGAGGATGAGGAGAACGAAGAGGACAAGGAGGACTAGGAGGAGGAGGAGGAGGACGAGGAGGAGGATGGCAACGAGGAAGAGGAGGAGGAGGAGGAAAACGAGGAGGAGGAGGAAAACGAGGAGGAGGAGGAGGAGTAGGAGGATGATGATGAGGAGGATGACGAGCACGAGGATGAGGAGGAGGATGAGGACAAGGAGGATGAGGAGGAGGACGACAAGGAGGAGGAGGACGACGAGGAGAAGGAGGACAACGAAGAGGAAGAGGATGAGGAAGAGGAGGAGGAGGAGGAGGAAGACGAGGAGGAGGACAAGGACGAGGAGAAGGAGGAGGAGGAGGTGGAGGAGGATGAGGAAAAGGAGGAGGACAAGGAGGAGGATGAGAAGGAGGATGAGGAGGAGGAGGAGGATGAGGAGAAGGAGGAAGAGGAGGAGGAAGATGGGGACGAGGAGGAAAAGGAGGAGGAGGAGGTGGAGGAGGATGAGGAAAAGGAGGAGGTCAAGGAAGAGGACGAGGAGGAGGACGAGGAGGAGGAGGAGGACGAGGAGGAGGACGAGGGGGAGGAGGAGGAGGAGGAAAATGAGGAGGAGGAAAAAGAGGATGAGGAGTACGAGGACGATGATGAGGATGAGGACGAGGAGGAAGACCAGGATGAGGAGGAGGAGGTGGAGGAGGAGGAAAATGAGGAGGAGGAGGAGGACAAGGACGAGGACGAGGATGAGGAGGATGACAAGGATGAGGAGAAGGAGGAGGAGGGGGAGGAGGAGGAGGAAATCGATGAGGAGGATAACGAGGATGAGGAGGAGGACGAGGAGGAGGAGGAGGAAAACGATGAGGAGGATAACGAGGATGAGGAGGACGACGAGGAGGAGGAGGTTGAGGAGGAAAAGGAGGAGGAGGAGGAGGAGGAAAACGATTAGGAGGAGGAGGAGGGGGACGATGACGAGGAGGATGGGGAGGAGGAGGAGGAGGAAAATGAGGAGGAGGAGGAGGACGAGGACGAGGAGGAGGAGGAGGAGGAGGACAAATAGGAGGACGAGGATGAGGAGGAAAATGAGGAGGAGGAGGAGGACGAGGACGAGGAGGAGGAGGAGGAGGAGGAGGAGGACAAATAGGAGGATGAGGATGAGGAGAAGGAGGAAAATGAGGAGGAGGAGGAGGAGGACGAGGACGAGGATGAGGAGGATGACGAGGATGAGGAGGAGGAGGAGGCCATTGATGAGGAGGATAACGAGGATGAGGAGGAGGATGAGGGGGAGGAGGATGAGGAGGAAAACGAGGAGGAGGAAAACGAGGAGGAGGAGGACGAGGACGATGATGATGAGGACGAGGAGGATGAGGACGAGGAGGAAGACCAGGATGAGGAGGAGGAGGAAGAGGTGGAGGAGGAGGAAAATGAGGAGGAGGAGGAGGAGGTGCAGAAGGAAGACGAGGATGGGGACAAGGAGGACGAGGACGAGGAGGAGGACGATGATGAGGAGGAGGATGAGGATGAGGAGGACGAGGATGAGGATGATGACGAGGATGAGGATGAGGAGGAGGGCGAGGCTGAGGATGAGGAGGTGGACGAGGACAAGGAGGACGAGGAGGAGGAGGAGGAGGACGAGGATGAGGAGGACGAGGAGGAGGAGGACGACGATGACAGGAGGAGGACGAGGAGGAGGAGGACGACGATGACAGGAGGAGGACGACGAGGAGGAGGAGGATAATGAGGAGGAGGAGGACAACGAGGAGGAGGATGATGAGGAGGACGAGGAGGAGGCAGATGATGAGGAAGAGGAGGAGGAGGATGGGTATGAGGTCGAGGAGGATGAGGAGGACGAGGATGAGGAGGATGGGGACGAGGAGGAGAAGGAGGAGGAGGAGGTCGAGGAGGATGAGGAAAAGGAGGAGGACGAGGAGGAGGAGGAGGACAAGGAGAACGAGGAGAATGAGGAGGACTAGGAGGAGGAGGATGAGGAAGAGGAGGAGCAGGATGAGGAGGATGACGAGGACGAGGAGGAGTACGAGGAGGTGGAAATCAATGAGGATAACGAGGACGAAGAAGAGGATGAGGAGGAGGATGACGAGGAGGAAGAGGATAATGAGGAGGAGGACAACGAGGAGGAGGAGGACAACGAGGAGGAGGAGGATGACGATTAGGAGGAGGTTGACGAGGACGATGACGAGGAGGAGGGGGAGGAGGAGGAGGAGGACGAGGAGGAGGACAAATAGGAGGACGAGGAGGAAGATGAGCAGGACAAGGAGGAGGAGGAGGACGAGGACAAGGAGGACGAGGAGGAGGACGAGGAGGAGGAGGACGAGGATGAGGATTAGGAGGACGACAAGGAGGAGGAGAATGAGAAGGACGAGGAGGATGAGCAGGAGGAGGACGAGCACGAGGATGTGTAGGACGAGGAGGAGGACGACAAGGAGGTGTAGGATAACGAGGAGGAGGATGATGAGGACGACGAGGAGGAGGATCATGACGAGGAAGAGGAGGAGGAGGAGGGGGACGAGGACGAGGAGGAGGAGCAGGACGAGGAGAATGAGGAAAAGGAGGAGGACGAGGAGTAGAACGAGGAGGAGGAGAACGAGGAGGACTAGGAGGAGAATGAGGAGGAGGAGGAGGAGGACAAGGATGAGTATGAGGAGGATGACAAGGATGAGGAGGAGTATGAGGCGAGGAGGAGGAAAACGATGAGGAGGATAACGAGGACGAGGAGGAGGAGGAGGAAAACGAGGAGGAGGAGGACAACAATTAGGAGGAGGAGGACGAGGACGATAACGAGTAGGATGGGTAGGAGGAGGAGGAGGAAAATGAGCAGGAGGATGAGGAGGAGGACGAGGAGGAGGATGATGAGGAGGACTAGGAGGAGAATGAGGATGAGGAGGAGGAGGAGGAGGACAAGGAGGAGTATGAGGAGGACGACAAGGAGGTGGAGGACGAGAAGAGGACGAGGAGGATGAGGAGGACGAGGACGACGAGGACGAGGATGATGAGGAGGACGAGGATAAGGAACGACAAGGATGAGGACGGGGAGGAGGACGAGGAGGACGACAGGGAGGAGGAATAGGACGACATGGAGGATGAGGAGGATGAGGAGGAGGATGAGGATGACGAGGAAGAGGAGGAGGAGGACGGGGATGAGGAGGATGAGGTTGACGAGGAAGAGGAGGAGGAGGAGGGGGATGAGGACGAGGAGGAGGACGAGGACAAGGAGGACGAGGAGGAGGACGAAGATGAGGAGGAAGAGGAGGAGGACGAGGAATATGAGGAGGAGGAGGACGAGGACGCAGAGGAGGAAGATGACGAGGACGAGGAGGAGGATGAGGACTAGGAGGAGCAGGACAAGGATGAGGAGGAGGTCGAGGAGAAGGACGAGGACGAGGAGGACGAGGAGGAGGAGGAGGGAAACGAATAGGAGGAGGAGGACGAGGAGGAGGAGGACAACGAGGAAGAGGAGGAGGACGAGGAGGAGGAGGACAACGAGGAAGAGGAGGAGGACGACGAGGAGGAGGAGGAGAATGAGGAGGAGGAGGATGAGGAGGAGGAGGACGAGCACGAGGATGAGTAGGACGATGAGGACAAGGAGGACGAGGAGGAGGATGAGGATAAGGAGGACGAGGAGGACGAGGATGAGGATGATGAGGAGGACGAGGATGAGGACGATGACGAGGAGGATGAGGAGGAGGACGAGGATGAGGATGAGGAGGATGACGAGGACGAGGATGAGGATGAGGAGGACGACAAGGAGGAGGAGGATGAGGAGGAGGACGAGGAGGATGAGGAGGAGGAGGACGAGCACGAGGATGTGTAGAACGAGGAGGAGGAGGAGGAGGACGACAAAGAGGAGGAGGACAACGAGGAGGAGGAGGACAACGAGGAGGAGGATGATGAGGAGGACGAGGAGGAGGATCATGACGAGGAAGAGGAGGAGGAGGAGGGGGACGAGTACGAGGATGACGAGGAGGATGAGGAAAAGGAGGAGGAAAAGGAGGAGGACGAGGAGGAGGATGAGTAGGAGGACGAGGAGGAGGAGGAGGACGAGGAGAATGAGGAGGATGAGGAGGAGGATGAGGACGAGGAGGAAGACCAGGATAAGGAGGAGGAGAAGGAGGTGGAGGAGGTCGAGGAGGAAGACGAGGATGAGGATGAGGACAAGGAGGATGAGGAGGAGGATGAGGAGGATGAGGATTAGGACGATGACGAGGAGGTGGTTGAGGATGAGGAGGACGAGGATGAGGACAAGGAGGACGAGGAGGAGGACGAGGAGGAGGACGAAGAGTATGACAAGGAGGAGGAGGACGAGGAGGAGTACGAGAAGGATGATGAGGAGGAGGATGAAGAGGATGACAAGGAGGAGGAGGACAAGGAGGAGGATGAGGAGGATGAGGAGGAGGAGGACGAGGATGAGGAGGAGGATGAGGAAAAGGAGGACGAGGAGGAAGATGATGAGTATGACAAGGAGGATGAGGAGGACAACAGGGAGGATGAGGAGGACGAGGAGGAGGAGGATGAGGATGACGAGGAAGAGGAGGAGGAGGAGGACAAGAAATATGAGGAGGAGGAGGAGGACGAGGACGAGGAGGAGGAAGAGGAGGAGTACGAGGAGGACGAGGAAGATGAAGGAGGAGGAGGGGGACGAGGACGAGGAGGAGGACGAGGACAATGAGGATGAGGAGGAGGACGAGGGGGAGGAGGTGGAGGAGGACGACGAGGACGAGGAAGATGAGCAGGAGGAGGACGAGCACAAGGATGTGTAGGAAGAGGAGGAAGACAACAAGGAGGAGGAGGACAACGAGGAGCAGGATGATGAGGAGGACGAGGAGGAGGAGGAGGGGGACGAGGACGAGGAGGAGGAGCAGGACGAGGAGATTAAGGAAAAGGAGGATGAGAAGGAGGAGGACGAGGATGATGAGTATGAGGAGGATGACAAGGATGAGGAGGAGGATGAGAAGGAGGAGTAGGAAATCAATGAGGATGATAACGAGGACAAGGATGAGGACAACGATTTGGAGGAGGAGGAGGAAAACGATGAGGAGGATAACGAGGATGAGGAGGAGGACGTGGGGGAGGAGGATGAGGAAAACGAGGAGGAGGAAAACGAGGAGGAGGAGTATAACGATTAGGAGGAGGTGGACGAGGACGAATACGAAGAGGAGGTGGAGGAGTAGGAGGAGGACGAGGAGGAGGACAAATAGAAGGACGAGGAGGATGAGGACGAGGATGAGGAGGATGAGGATGAGGACGATGATGAGGAGGATGAGGAGGAGGAGGAGGACGAGGATGAGGATGAGGAGGACGACAAGGAAGAGGAGGACAAGGAAGAGGACGAGGAGGATGAGGAGGACGAGGACGACGAGGACGAGGATGAGGAGGAGGACGAGGATAAGGGGGACGAGGAGGAGCACGAGGAGGAGGACGAGGAGGACGACAAGTAGGAGGAATAGGACGACAGGGAGGACGAGGAGGAAGAGGAGGAGGATGAGTATGACGAGGAAGAGGAAGAGGAGGAGGGGTATGAGGAGGAGGATGAGGTTGACGAGGAAGAGGAGGAGGAGGAGGGGGATGAGGACAAGGAGGAGGACAAGGACAAGGAGGACGAGGAGGAGGACGAAGATGAGGAGGAAGAGGAGGAGGACGAGGAATATGAGGAGGAGGAGGATGAGGACGAGGAGGAGGAAGATGACGAGGATGAGGAGGAGGATGAGGACTAGGAGGAGGAGGACAAGGATGAGGAGGAGGTCGAGGAGAAGGATGAGGACGAGGACGAGGAGGAGGAGGAGGGAAACGAGTAGGAGGAGGAGGACGAGGAGGATGATGATGAGGAGGTGATACAGGGCCAAGATAGGAACAGGGGATGTAAGGGTTAACATGAGAATAGCAAGAAGGGGATAATAGCAAGAAGGGGATAACAAAAGAAAATAGTTCAAGGGAAATAGTTTAGATAACGGTTAACTGTCTGCTTAGTGAGCAGACAGTTTATAAAACACGGTGAGCTCTCTAGGCTTTATCAGTACCAAGCCGGTTGGAACTAGACCCACGGTTTGGACAACAGCCAGTAAGAAACTGAGTATGCGCAAAACCTGGGGTCACAGAGCGGACAGGAGGAAGAGGAGCTTGACTTCATCCCCAAAGACCCCCACGACCACCACCAGAAGACACTGCGCAGACTCAACTAGGAGGAGATTATGGAAATGCTAATTATAATACGAAGCGGGGATAGGTGTTGAATATGTATAGGCGTATTGCAAAATATTATGAATATGTAATCATTTGCTCTATAAATCTTAGGTAACAGCATCACACGTTGGGTACACAATAGGAGGAGTTATCCCCTGTGTACCTCAGCGCTGAATAAACATACCTACTTTACAATCTATCAGATTGTGGAGTCTATTTCCGCACGTCAGTTTTGGCGAGCCAGGCAGGAGACTCTCTGCTCGACTACGGGATCGACTGCGGGGCGGACTCTCCCAGGCGCGCCCCGAGCACTTTCCTCGGAGGAGCCTCCGCTACCAGCCGCTCACCGTGGGGGGGCAGACAAGGACTTCCTGAAGCCGCGGACCAAACGGTATGTTTAAGGATAGGAGCCTGTAAGTCGTACGCGTGGCTGGGGCAGCTGGTAAATCGCGCAGAGACGTCTGGCGTGCAGCTAAGCCGGGTAGGTGCACCGAAAAGGCGCGAATTCGTGCGGGTTAGGGGAGTCTAGGGGGCAATTACACCTTGCCACAGACCGATAGAGCGGTCGCCGGCTCCAATCGGGGACCTGTTGGCCGAGAGGGCGGCCACAGGCAGGAGTGATTGAAAAGGCCTTTGTTCTGTTGTGTTTTTTTTTCTCTTGCTGAAAGTGTTGTAAGTGTGTGGATTTGTAAGTGCGTGGACGTCCGTGAGATTGTGAGATTGTGAGTGAATGCTGTGTGGTGATTGTGTTAAGTGTGAGCGTTTGGAGTGAGTGTTTTACAAAAACAAGATGGGTAATACTCAGGGAGGGATATTAAAAAAGAGCCCTCTCGGCTGTATACTCGCCCATTGGCGGGATATTGCAGGGAGCGGAGGTACGGAAAGCAAAAGGACTCTTGTAAAATATTGCAATCAGTGGTGGCCGCTGTATAAGCTGGAGGATGGTGCTAAATGGCCGCTTAATGGAACACTGGACTATAACACTCTGTTACAACTTATGTTGTTTATAAGGAGAGAAGGAAAATGGGATGAGATATCATATGCGGATATGTTTTTTACTTTGCGAAATCACCCAGAGTGGCAAAGGGACTGTGGGTTAGTACCCCCACAGGACCCTATGGTGCTCGCACTTGAACGAGAAAATAAGGAAAGTAGGGGTAAGTTGAAAAGGTGTTGCTCGTCATGTAGCATTGGACAGAGATGTACAAAGGTAGATAAGGTTCACCAAACCTCAGAACAAGATGATGATTTGTTTAAACCTCCCCCCCGATCACAGAATCGGGATGGTGACTCGGAAGAAACGGCAGACTCTCCCGATAGTCCGGTATCTGCCCACACTAGACAAAAAACTGCAACAAGTATTTTACAGGCACCCCTTCGGGAAGCCGTGGGACCGGAGGGTGGTACAATGTTGATTAGGGTACCCTTCACCACCGTTGATTTGGAAGCATGGAGGGGAATTGCAAAAAACTATAGACGCGATCCACATGATGTAGCTAAACACTTCCAATTCATTATAAGACAGCATAACCCGGATTGGAGTGATATACAACTGCTATTAGAATATATGACTGAAACTGAGAAACAATTGATTTTAAAAACAGCAGGAGACTTGGCGGAGGATCATTATAAGATCACTGGGGGGGACGTTAAGGAATATTTTCCCCTCCAAGACCCAAAATGGGAACCAAATAGATCGGCACATATGGAAAGGTTACGGGCGTATCGAGAATGGATTGCAAAGGGGATAGAAAGAGCGATCCCTAAAACTATAAATTGGTCAGTTTTATATGCAGTAAAACAGGGTCCTTCCGAGTCCCCATCTGAATTCTTGAATCGACTGAGGAATGTAATGCGCCGTAATACACCGTTGGATCCGGGATCAGAAATAGGAATACAACAACTAGTTTCCTTGTTCATGGGCCAATCCACAAGAGACATAAGGCGAAAGCTTCAGAAGCTGCGCCCTACGGAAAGTAGGAATCTGGAGGTATTGTTAGAGGAGGCGTGGAAAGTGTTTAGCAACAGGGAAGAAGAATGTCGACAAGGACAGATGAAGTTGATGGCCACTCTGGTTCAGAGACCGGCCAGGCAACGACCGCGGCTGGGGTGGGATCAGTGTGCTTTGTGTAAGGGCTTCGGGCATTGGAAAAAGGAATGTCCAAGGAATAGGAGGGAGAATGGGAAGGCTTCAAGGAATGTAAAAATAGCAAATGTAACAGAGGACTGACGGGGACCTGGGGGATCTACCCTGGCGGATCCACTGGTTAAAATTAAGCTGGGGAGAAAAAAAGAAGAAGTAGAATTTTTGGTAGACACAGGAGCAACGTATTCGGTTTTGAATCAAGCTTTAATACCACTGGGGGATGACTATGTTATGGTAAAGGGAGCGACCGGCCAATCTGAAAAGGCGTATTTTTGTAAACCTTTAGAGTATAAATTGGGAAAGCAATGGGGAATTCATAAATTCCTTTATATGCCTAACTCCCCAAAAGCTCTCCTGGGGAGGGATTTGCTGGAACAACTGGAAGCAAAAATTGTCTTTGAGAAAGGGGAAGTCACCTTGGAGGTAAAAGATCAGCAGTACATTCAAGTGCTGAGTCTCACTCTAACTAGTTCTTCGTCAGGAGGAGAAATTAGTGAGGAAATTTTAGACCAAGTATATCCGGGAGTTTGGGCTACCGATGTACCTGGAAGGGCGAAAAACGCTCTACCGATTGAGATCAAGATTAAGGAAGGTCAACGACCGGTGAGAATTAAACAGTATCCTTTAAAAAGGGAGGATAGGGAAGGAATCCGACCGGTAATAGAAAAATTTTTGCAATTAGGGTTATTAGAAGAGTGTGAGTCTGAGTTCAATACCCCTATACTGCCCATTCGGAAACCTGATGGGTCGTATAGAGTGGTTCAGGACTTACGGGCTGTGAATAAAATAGTTGAAGATCTCCACCCAGTGGTAGCAAACCCATATACCCTGTTAACTGTATTAACACCAGAGTTGATTTGGTTTACTGTCTTAGATTTGAAGGACGCCTTCTTTTGCCTTCCTCTCCATAAAGCCAGCCAAAAGTTGTTTGCATTTG